GGGGGGCAGCTGTACACGTGGCGAACGATGAATGAACAATTAAAGTAGCCCTAAGATCCTTTGAGGATATTATTATGGATACCTACCACTACTCTTTATAAAAAACAAAAGAGAAAAAATATTCTTTAGGTTAATTAACTGATCAGTCTTAGTTTGCTATTTAATAATAACAAGTTTAAGTTTATGGGTTTTTAGAGTTATTAAAATTTTTATGGTTATTAATTTTAGAGTTTGTAGAATTAATTAATTTGTATTTAAATTGGTTTGGATATTTATATTAATTAGAAAAAAAACACCAGTAATGGAAACGAGGTTGGTCGAAATTATTTCTTCATTTTCTTTTAAATATTAATTTAATATTTTTTGAAGTTAAAAGTATTTCAAAAAAACATTTAAAATTAAAAACAAAAAATCATGAGAGACAACCTAAATAGGTTTTTGTCTTGTTGTGAAGGAAAAGAAAACTGTTTGTGGGACATGCAGACCACAATTGTTGGAATTTGTGGACGTGTCCACCCTTATCGTTCATGGGGTTAGAGTATGTCTCTTAGACACGTAGCCCACCACCTTTAGTGTTATAATTAAATTTTAAAATGCAGTCGTTTTAATTATTTTATTAAAATAAATTTTTCTCATAATAAATTTTTATTTTATTTTAACTAGCACTATATTTTTAATTAGAATTATTATTTCTGTTTTTTTAATTCTTTATAATTTTTAAAGCAAGTTAGTAAACAATCTCAAAATAATATGTCTATATTTTACATAATTAAAAGCTACAAAAATCATAAATGTAATAAAATTATATTCAAAATTAATTTATAAATTTTAAATATAAAATAAATTTTAATCAAATAATTCATTGTTAGTATTATTACCTTTAGATCAAATACATAATAATTAAAAAAATTATTAAAACTAAAATGAAAATTTATAATAGTATTCTAGAAACATAACAAAAACAAAGAGTAGATGAATTTAGTAAATTTTTTTCGACTGTAATAAAAACTAAAGGTATAATAAAATTATTATTTCATGAAAAAAATATATTGGAGATAAAAAATTTAGAGACTGAATAAAATAATTTATAGTAATTTACGGTGTTATGTGAAAAAAGATAAAATATTTTAGTCATATGATTTATCTTTTTTGTTAAAAAAATACAAAACTAAATTTTTTATCAATTTAATATTTAAAAAAAAAACAAAGATAATTCTAAAAAAAAAACCTATGAGAAAAAATGTTGTAATATATAGTATCAAATACGTGGGTGAATAATAAATCACCCACATAGACCACAATTGTTGGAATTTGAGGACGTGTCCACCCTTATTGTTCATGGGGTTAGAGGTATTCTCTTAGACACGTAGCCCCCCACCTTTAGTGTTATAATTAAATTTTAAAATGCAGTCGTTTTAATTATTCTATTAAAATACTTTGAACTCATAATATATATTTTTATTTTAGCTAGCAATATATTTTCAATCATAATTATTATTTCTGTTTTTTTTAATTCTTTATAATTTTTAAAGCAAGTTAGTAAACAATCTCAAAATAATATATCTATATTTTACATAATTAAAAGCTATAAAAATCATAAATGTAATAAAATTATATTCAAAATTAATTTATAAATTTTAAATGTAAAATATATTTTAATCAAATAATTTATTGTTAGTATTATTACTTTTAGATTAAATACATAATAATTTAAAAATAAAATATTAAAACTAAAATGAAAATTTATAATAGTATTTTAGGAACATCACAAAATAAAGAGTAGGTGAATCTAGTAAATCTTTTTTTTCTATAATAAAAATTAAAGGTATAATAAAGTTACATGATAGAAAAAAATATATTAGAGATAAAAAATTTAGAAACTAAACAAGATAATTTATAGTCATTCATGGTGTTCTATGAAAAAATAAAATATTTTAGTCATACAATTTAGCTTTTATGTTAAAAAAACAAAAACAATTACAAAACTAAATTATTTACCAACTTAATATATAAAAAAAACAAACAAAGATAATTCTGGAAGAAAAAAACCAATGAGAAAAAACACGGTAACAATTGATAATATTCTGTGAGGAAAATCACAGTGCTTTATCCAATAAAATTAATAAAAATAATTTAAAAATATCATAAAAAAACTATTTAGATAAATACTATAGTAATTCACAATATTTTATGAGAAAAGTTACAATACTTTTCTTATATGATTTACTTTTATTGTAATTATAATTCTTAACAAATTCAATATTAAAAAAAATCGTATGAAAAAATATTGCAGTAATTCAGAGTGTTTTTTTTTTTAAATTACAAAGCTAATTTTTTAACAAGTTTAATATTAAAAAATCAAAAGAGCCAATTATAGAAAAAACATAATGTTGAAAGTTACTCTGGTAATTTATAATGTCTTGTAAGGGAAGTTATAATGCTTTCCCTACATAATTAAGTTTTATTGTAAAATTAAATTCTAACTAGTTTGATATTAAAAAAATAAAATTAATAAAAATAATTTTGAAAAAAAATATTACAAAAAAAGAAAACATAGAAAACAACGTGGAAAAAAATACTATTATAATTCACATTAATTTGCAATAAAAACTATATTGTTTTTCTTGTATATCATAACTATAATTTTTTAACCAACTCATTATTAAAAAATAAAATTGAAAAAGATAATTTCAAATAAAATCATCAAAAAACAAAAACAAAAAAAACATACAGAGAAATACTGTAACAATCAATAATATTTTTTAAATATAAAATTAAAATTTTAATTATTTTAATATTAAAAAATAAAATAAAAATAATTTTTAAAAAAAAACTATGCGGGAAATACCACAGTAATCTATGGTATTTTAAAGGTAAAAAATTACAAATCAAAATTTTTAATTAATTTAATATTAAAAAATAAAATTGATAAAATTTTTTTATAAAAAATAAAAAAAAAAGAGGAAAAGTTGGAAAAAAAGGAAAGTAATTTTGAAAAAAGAGAAAGTTGAAAATAATAATAATAATAATAAAAAAATACAATATGAATTATTGCTGTAATATATAGTGTCGAATACGTGGGTGAATAATAAATCACCCACAGCCTTATTACTTAATCTTATTTAATAGTTTTTTTAATTATTCTATGAAATAGCACAATATTGGAATTAGATTCATGATTAATTATGTGTTTTCATTCACTCGAATAAAGTCAAGGATGGAGGGATTTTTGCCTCTGTAGAGGTAAAGTTGAAGGCTCGTAAAATTTCTTGGCTTGTTCGAGTGCAAGGTAGAGGTGGGGGTGTCTTTGGAAATGTTAGCGTGTTTTTTAAAAAATATTATTTTTTATTTTTATTAAAAATAATTTATTCAGTATATTTTGAATTATTTTGATGAATTAATTTTAAGAATATTTTTTTAAATATAAAATATTATTTTAATATATTTTAAAATAAAAAATACTTTAAAAAACAATTACTTCAGAAAAAAAAGGCCGTAATGCTCTCAAACTCCATAAATCTTCTTGTTCAAATTTATACAGTAAATAATTTTTTATTTACCGTTGGGCCGCAACCCAAACAACAATAAGAACCGGCGGACAACTGTTGTCCATTCGCAACTATTAAGCCACAGCCGAGGTTGGGCAGTTGTTTTCCAATCATCGTTGCTGGGCCACAACCTAAACAACAAAGATCGGAGAACTATTGTCTATTCACAAATGTGGGCCTAGTCTAATTTGGCAACTTTGCAACTTGTTGGGCCAAAAGCCCAACCAAATAGAGACTCCATCCAAAGGCCTAGCTAGGCAGAAAAGGATAGGCGTGCCGAACAATGTATTTTCTCATACTGCTACAACATCAAACCCGACTTAGAAATTAACCCGGTCAAAAAAATCCAGATTATAGATTATACAAGTTAATTTTAATTAAATTTAAAAAATGTATTATTTTATATAAAAAATAAAAATTTAAAAATTATTTAAAAAAATTATCTAATATTTCAATTCATGTTAGAATTGTTGCTTTATCCAATATTTCAATTCATGTTAGAATTGTTGCTTTCTTTCCTGACTCACACTCCCTTTTCTCATTTTATTAGCTTAAACATTAAGAATACCTTTATGTGCATAAAAAACTTTTTGAAACATCCTTCCAGCTTCCACTCCTTGCTTTCACAATGGTTCTTTATTTAAGCTAAAATCTGAGCAAGAGTAAGCTTAGTGGCGATTAATTTCAAAGAGGTCTGAGTCCATGATGGCTTTTGTGTTTCTTTTAAAATTTGCAGTGAAATGCCTCGGTGTTCTTGCATGGTATGCATAACGTCTGTGTGTAACTCTAGTACTTCGCGTTTTGCTTTGCTTTGTGTTTTCATGTCTGTGATGGTCAGTTGTTTCTGCTCCATGGTTGCAGGCCTGTTTTTGGTTTGGGTTATCCTCTGTAAGTCTCCTCTCTTTGTTTTACTTTGAGTGTGTTTGTTCATGTTAACGACTCGACAATCTCTCCTGGTGTTTAGATTATGTTATTCGGAATGTCAAGTCGGTGTTTGTTTAGCCAAGAAGTGATGAATCATCACTAATTCGTGCTTGTTTCTGAGTGTCTAACAGATGTGCTTCCATTCAAGCGATCGAGACTAATTCGAACTCAGACACCCAGAAGCTGATCTCGTACTGGGTCTCCATTTCTGTGGTCTTGCTCCTTGAACATTCGTTTCAGCTTGAATGGTAATTAAATTAAATGAAATTTCAGAGAAACTAAACTGCGTGGCGTTTTCCTGCTGCATTTTTAACTGTGCACTGCTCACTGTGGATTAGAGTAGTGAATTTCAATAGCGTTTTCCAGCTTGAGAAATGAAGTTTTTGATAAGGTTTTTGAGCTTGACTGTGGATCAATTTAGTAAGATATAGTTTTACCTTGTAGCATTGATACACAATTGAAAGAACGAGAAACACGTTCTAAACTGATAACCAAAACAAAACGGGATGGCCAGTCTCGAATTCACGTAACTTTGTTTTAGATCTCTTTAAGTGTTTTTATATTTTAGTTTTTATCTAAAAGTTTATTTTATTTTATTTTTTTTAATTTGAGAGGAAAAAGATAAATTTGTTGAAAAATATTTCAAAAGAGAAAGTTTAGCTTGACCACTTTCTGTCAACAAAAAAAACTTATTCTTGGTGTTTGTAAATTTTATTTGATAATAAAAGTTTTATTAAGGTGTTTTTTTTTTAATTTTTTATTGTGCTAGAAAAAGCAAATCAAGTTTGAGAAAGAATTTTTTTATTTAATTTTATACTTTTAGATCAATTATGAGATGTTTTTAGTTGAGAGATTGATTTATTTAGATTTTAAGAGTGTTTTTAAATGAAAATAAGATGAAAAATAATTTTTTAGATAAAAAAACATAAACATAATATTCTAACCACTATTTTGGTGGTAAAAAGTTGGGCAAGTAGATTATATACTGCTTGACCCAATAATAATAATAATAAAAAAAACCATACACATTAATCCAAACCCAAGCATTTATTTTTTTCTCTTCAATTCAAATTTAAATTCATTAAAATAGATTAATTAGAAATATATTTAGGGTATTGTTTGATTAAATAATATTTGGTTTTGACTTTGTTTTGAATAAGATTATAATTTTTTTTTAATAACAAATTTAATCCAACTAAGTTTACGAACTAGATGTGAGTTTTTTAGTTTAATCTAGATTTAAATGGATTCATCTAATTTTAAAATATTATTGTGAGTTTTTTAGTTTAATCTAGATTGAAATGGATTCATCTAATTTTAAAATATTATTGTTTCAACTTTTTTTTTTCAGTCAAATGACTACATTTTTCTCCTTCAATTTAAATTGAAGCTTGTTAGAACAAATAAATTAGATGTATATTTGGGATATTTTATTGAACTCCCATTCCAATTTTCCATCACAATTTGTGAGCATTATATATATTTTTAATTTATTCACAATAAAATTATCAAAATATTATTATTTTTTTAATTAAAACTTTTTTTATGCTTCAAATAAGCTATTACTTACAAAAAAAAGAAACTATTTTGATAAGGAAATGTAAAAGAAAAGAAAGAAAGAAAAAGCATTGGAGTTTTAATTAAAGAAATACTTTTTTATTCTTATTTTAAATTGTTCATTTTTTTTGTTTATTCTGATTTCTTTCTATTTTTATTAAATAAACAACATGGCTGGGAAAGCTAATTTTTAAAAATAATTAATAAGAAAAAAGAGAAATTCTACTAGAAAAATACTATGTATTAATTGAATTTAAATTATTACCCATCTTATAAAAATTTAATTACCATTTAATAAAAAAATATTTGAACAGTTTTTCACAACATAAAATTAAATATCTTAATATGTATTAGCTTTCTATTGAATCTCTAGCTAGTATTAACAAATTTTTTAATATTTATTGACATATAATTATCGATTTATTCTATCAATCATATCAGTTCGCTATTAAAATTATTCTTGATAATACATAATGCGTTCACAATGCCTTCATATTTTGTTTTTGCGTTGAAGAAATCTTTTGAAAAAATGATTAAAAAAAGAACAAATTGCGATTATGCAGCTCTGATTTTGTAGCCAATCGAAACGAATAGAAACATGATCTTTTGGGAGTCGAAACAATTTCAGGAGTTTCCGATCTAGGGTATTTTTTTTCCTTTTATTCTGTAATTACCCTTGAGAATGATCAGTCAATGAAAGTTGATGTCTTCAAGATGATTTTGGACTTCTGTTCAAATTGTTGGTATGGGGAAATATGTCATGTGCTACTAGATGAGGACAAGAGGACTGTTGAATCTCTCAAGTCAATCTCTATTATCGTATCCCTCTATATGCAGGCTAGCCTTCTGGCCATACATTAAGCTAATGATCGTCGGCTGCTTGGTTCTGCCTTACTTCGATGGTTCTCTGTATGTCTATAAACACCTTATTAATCCGTGTCTATCCATGAGCCCTGCAACTATCACCTGCCAGTTCAACAAGCAGGAGGAGTTGTGTTTCAAGAAAGATGATTTTCTTGTTGAGATGAAGAGGTATAAGAAGGAAAATGGCTCTGATGCTTTGGAGGATCTCATTGCTTCCACGGTATGTATGATTCTTCGTGGCAACAAGTCCCATGGAAATCTTTTGATATTTGCCTGAAATCAATTGAATTATTCTAATTTTGACGTTCTTATCATGTGGATGAAGTATGCTTTCTCATCATTGCTTCCCTCTCAAACACCTGAAATCTTTTGACGTTCTGTTCTTCCAGAAAAAGAGTGCAAAGCCTAATGTGGATGTGAAGGAGATCAGGGCGGTTGAGGCAGAGGATATGGTAAGGTCGCTAATTTCAGTTGCATATTGTTTATGGCTATTTATGTGACCCGTTCAAAGCCAGATCATGAATGCAGAAGCCAGAAACACCCACCAACCAAGTTTATGGCTATTTATGTGACCCGTTCAAAGCCAGATCATGAACGCAGAAGCCAGAAACACCCACCAACCAAAGGTAGTAGGAGCGGTCTTTATAACGAGAGCTCGATCATTGGAGCAACCACATGACTCATGTTTCCTTATTATTGATTGAATTTTTTTCTTTTCTTGAAAATAAGTCCCACTTATGAAGTAATTCAGTGTTCTTGTAGAATAGTGGTTGTTAAGTGTGATGCTGTACAGGGTTTTATTTCAGCTGATCAAGCTTTTGATTCATGCAGCCGAAGTTCGAACAACTTCTGGTTCGATTCAAAGACAGTAATGATGTGGAGATAACAGAGAAGATAGAAGTTGCATCAACCAAGCAGGTAATTTTATTCAACGGTTGGAAATTTGGGCACCCTTAAGGAAAAGTCTACCTGTGCTTTTGGAAATAATATTATGAACTGCGAAATGTTACTGCCTGATGAAAAATTTAAATATCTTTTGATTCACGCTGCTGAAGCTGGAACAGCCTGAGCTTCCGATTCGATTCAAAGATGGTGATGCTGTGGAAGTAACAGAGAAGCAAGAAGTTGCATCAACCACGCAGGTTATTTTATTCAGCAGATGAAATTTTCATAACTTTTCAAGAAAATGGCTGCATGTGCTTCAACCCAAACAATCTTAAACTTCTCTCAAAAACTTGTGTTATTTGATAAGATTTTCAAAAATTCCCCTCATGAGTACCACAAATTCCCTTCCCTTCCTTCCCCCTGTGATTTCTTTATTGGTTTCTTGTTAGTCAATGTTCTCTTGACCATTCTATGTTTACCATGTGTATTCTTTATACATCCTCCAAGCATCTATGTTTCCTGCTTTTGCAGGCTAGAGAGGCAGAATCCAACATCAACCACACAGAAAACAGAACATTTCCACCTCTGGAGAGCATAAACACTGCAACAACAACAGTAGGAGGCGGAGATCTTTGTGGGATTCTACCTCCCGAGAAAGTCCAAAAGCTATGGACTTGTGTTATATGTCAAGTAACAGCCAAAAATGAGACAGCTCTAATTGCACATCTACATGGAAATAGACACAAGGCCACTTGTGAACAGCTAAATGTCAAGAATCAGACAGATGTTAACTCACATCTTCAAGGAAAAAGACACAAGAAAACTTGTGAGCCTCTGAACTTCAAGAAGCAGGCATCATACAGCAATGTTTCCCCTGCTTCAGTGGGAAGGAACCTGATGAACAGCCGATGTATTGAGATGATAGGTTCTCATTGGTGGTGTAAAATCTGCAATGTAAGCAGTGTACATGGCAAGCAAAGTCACCTTAAAGGGAAAAGGCACAGGGCTTCGTTGCAAGCATTGGATGGTCTTGGAGACAATAGGCATGCCTGAGTCACTGAATAAGTTCATACAACTATTGTAGAAGATGTTCTAATCTGGCGGGCAAGGCGGCCGTGATCATCCAAGGTACCTGTAGATTAAATGGCGTGTTTTGTTGCCGGACAAAAACAAATTAAATGGCGTCGAAAGGCAAAAACTTAAAAGGCGGATATCATGTAAAGTAACCTTTGAAATGGCGGACCTTTTCTTTTTATAAATGAATGAAGTTTCATTGATCCAAAGGAAACAAGTAGGAGCTTATCCTGCTACAAAAGCAAGAATTCAGCCGCTATTACAAGGAAAATAATCAGAGAAATAGCCACTGATTACAAAGAACAAAAGATTTTGTTTCTTATCAGGTCCTTTTGCATATTGCGTACGAATAATGAACCTTTACGGACTCCTCGTCGAATTACTTATCCTATTGAAATTGACTCGCTGGCTTTGAAAAATAGGGGGCGATTACTAAAATTTTATAAAAACTCGAGTTCTAGGTTCATTATCATTGGAAGGATTGATATTAGAAATATTAAATATCTTAGCAAATTTATTCCTTGATATTCCTATTATGTCGAAAGGTTTATACTTCTTTTGCTGTAGCTTGCTTAGCACAAAAATACCATGACCATATCTTGATCCAAAAAATTCCAGATTATCAAATCTCTTAGAGAAATACCAAAAAATTCCACAAAAATACCAAATGAAAAACAAGTAATTTGGTAGTCAAATACCAAATGAAAAACAAGTAATTTGGTTTTGGATCAATGAATTTGGATGCCAGAAAAAGCTTAGAGAAATCATTCATCTTCTATGCAGCTATCACAAGCAGATTTCAGAGGAAAATTCAACACGGGAAACGATTTCATTAATTATATTAATTTCACCTACCCGTAGGTTTGTTCCATTATCGGATCCAGAATGACTTTTATTGTGCTGTTTTCAGTGACGAAGAACTCTTAAATCGATGTCTTTGGAAGAGAAATGTATTTTCAAGCTGACAGATGCTGTGCACTAGAGATAATTCAGATTTCTGCTAATGAAGTGCAAGAACTGGCTTATGATAGAATCCATGAGCTTATCAGCTTCCATAGAAATAAATTCAACTCCCATCATAGGAAGATGGCCATTTGGCTACCCTCTGTACAGGAACTATTTTGTCTTTCCAGAAGACGGACGAGACATTTAAGTTTCGATGAGAGACCTACTAACTTATTTACAAAGGCGATCAATTTCTCATCTCCATCACAGCTTTCATTATTCTTGTCTGAATTATTTTTACCTAGACAACATTCAATTTGAACTTTTAAAGCATTATTGATTTTATTTCAATCTAACAATCCATGGCTATATTCCCAAATTCAGCTTCAAACAGTAAAGTAACTGCTGCGGAATTGAAAAAAATTGGGAATTTTTATTGATAGATGTTGAGAAAGCTTTGAATTTTCTTATCCAAAAGAAAAAAGTAGTAAGAAAAGTAATGAACTTCTCAAAATCCAGAAACTTTGAAAAATATAAACCAGGAAATTTAAGATGGATCAGAATCCTGGCTTGGTTCTCAAAAGAGAAAAATCGCTCAGTTTATTCAGCTTCGATCATTTGGGGAAATAATCATCATCTCCATCTGTTGAATCCCATTATTTATCATTAATTATTCCTACAAATCGCAATAATTTAACATAAAAAATAAAAATTTCAAAAAATATTTTAAAAAATCAAGTTGAAGATGGATCAGAAATCTGGCTTGGATCTCTCGAAAGAGAAAAATCGCTCAGTTTGTTCACCTTCGATCATCTGGGGAAATAATCATCACCTCCATCTTCGTCTTCATTTAAAAAAAAACTTTCAAAATAGAACAAAATAAAGATCTAACAAAGACACCAAAATATCTCCAAATCTGCATCAAACAGAGAGGTGTAAGGATCTAATCAACTCCTAATTGGGATTTTGCAGAAACGGAAAATTAGATATAGCGTCAGCTCATACACAACGTTTACTCTGTAAAAAACGCTGGTAATCAGTATATGACGCAAGGAAAAATTAGATTTCTTGATAGTTAATGAAAGGTTAAGAAATTCAAAAACCCAACGCCTAGAGAAGATGAAGAAATTATGGGTGCTGCAGAGCGTTGTATGGGGTAAACGAAGCGCAATGATAACTGAGGCCAGGGAAGAGCGGTTTATAAAGACGAAGGAAGGGAGGGTTTGCTGCTGTTGCTAAAACCCTAGATCAAGTGGGCGTTTGCCATGTGTACTGACCGAGTAGAATTTGGGCCGTGTGGCCTCTTATCACACCGAAGAAGAATGACCTTAGGAGAAGTTATTCGACCTGTTTAAGACTTATCTTGGATGTGTTGATAAATAAATTCCAGTTGATTATTTTTTTAAAAAAAATAAAATACTATTATTTTAATTTTTTAAAGAGGTATTAAATTGAATTCTTATGAGGTTAACTAGATTACAAACTCACTTATCAAATTAATTGATTCATTTTAATTTTTTAAAATAAAATAATATTATTCTATTTTTTTTTAAATTACTAAATTAAATTTAAATCGATTACAAACTCACTTATCAAATTAATTGAGTTAGGTTATTTTTTTTTAATCTTTGTGGTCGCTTTAGATTTTATAACCATGGATACGAATGAATTTTGGGGGGAGGAGAATTTGTTTATTAGACTTTTGTTTAATTTTAAAGTTAATTTTTAATTTTTAAATCCAGATAGTTAAATGCATAAATAAGTAGTACATAGATAAATATTGGATATGAGTATTTTATTATTATTAACATAAAATCTAGAGATTATCCTGTGAAAACAATTTAATTTAATTTAATTTATTACCCAGCAAAAATATTCATTGTGATTAATAAAAATAATTGATTATCTCCAGTAATGTATCCTAATCCTTGTATTTAACACAATAATTTAGTTATTTAAATTAAATTTGAGTATAATTTAACGATGAGGAAAAAAAAAAAACTTTATACTTCAAGTAACGTATTTCCGTCCATCATCCGCGGGAGCTGGAGAAGTTGAACTGATGATCTTGGCGACGAATTAAGCATAGCAAGTATTGGCAATATTGTTGCCGATGCGAAGAGTGCCAAAAGCAATATTGAGAAGATCCTGATGGGCTTCAACCCTATTCAAACCAGAAGAAGTTGAGGATAGTTGGATATGGAGGTTCAAAATTTCCAATTGGATGATGAACATGCACTTGATGCAACGAAATCTAATGGAGATCTTGCTGGAATGGAATGGTGTGGCAATTCTGAACAACTTCCACCATTTGGGAAACTAGAGTTCCTTAAGCATCGTCCTTGGAAAGTCTGCATCTTGATTCCCTGAAGAGCTTAGAGCAATGGACACCAGTTACTGAAGACGGTTTTCCTCGCGTTGGCGAAGTCTAATTGCTCTATATAGTCGAAATGCCGCCAATTATGATCTCCATCAGCACATTGAGAATCGTGGAAGGCAGTGCTACATTATTGAGGTCAGCTAAGAATTACACTTCTCTTACCTTCCTTGAAATTAAAATGATTTCGGATTCGACGCTTCCGACTGATGAATGGTTTCAAAACCTTGCACTCCTTGAGCACTCACATGGTTTTGAAAATCGGCAGTCCTAGTCATGTCAGATGTTAGACAACCTACCTTCTCTTTTGAACTTGCACCTTTCAGTATTCTAATATCTGCATCTCTACCTGAGGAGTGCAATACCTGACAGCACTTGAGAAATTGTATCTGAAAGCATGTCCAGCCGAAGAGCATCCAATATCTCACTTCTCTCCAATATCTTATTATTCTGGATTGCAGGGCCTTGCGTTCTCTACCAAATGAGATTGGACATCTCACCTCCCTTTCATCGTTGTTGATTTGGGACTGTCCTAAATCGATGTCTCTGCTAGAACAAGTACAGAATCCCAGTATGCTTAGAGCTGAGAATAAGGGGATGTCCATATCTGAAGAGGAGGAATAAGGAAGAGAGAGGAGAGGACTGGCCAAAGACATCTCACATCCTTCCACTGATATCAACCAGACAGTAATCCAATGATCTCTGCAGACATGAAGATTAGAGTGGTTGGCTTCATGGATTTCGGAAAATGACGAGGTTCGCTCCACAGTAGTTACATTGAAAGTTCATGATGTGAGCCTTTATGCGATTCTACATGGGAGAAATGCTGCAATGTGGTTGCCTTGTTCTACTTTTCATGATCTATACAGATGAGATGATACACTAGTTATAATTTGCAGAATCAACGATGATAACTTGTGGTCCAGATTTTTATAATCTACAGGGATTATCCATTCGATGTTTGCAATCTACCTCTGATTCTCTTTACTGCTGCATTGGGTCAGAATTGGTGGATGTATCTTCCAAAAATATATTTCCAAGTTTTCCAAAAATAATAATCTATATGGATTGGTTATTCCAGCACCCATAAGTCGGCAACCAGAGGGAGTTTTCCAGGAGGAATTGGACTGGAAGAAAGAGGAACAATACTCCAAGGAAGAAGAGAAGATAGGTCCAGAAACAAGAGGCATTCTATGCGGCAGAAACACCCTTAAATCCAGCCACTCAGCCAGCCAGGCTTAAGTTCCTGAGTTGAGTTCCGAGCTCTGATTTGTGTCAGCTATCTTGAAGAGTAAAATTCCATCCCGGCATTCAGAGGTATTTAAGATTGTGGATGGACTGAATTTTTAAAAAATATTAGTGTTTTTAGTTTTAAATTATTTTTTATTTTTTTGGATATACATTAATATAAATATAAAATTTTTAAAATATAAAATTATTATTTTAATAAATATTATACTAAATAATTTATCAAGCTCTCAAACAAGCATTTAAACGTGAATGAAGAAGGCTCGTGTAAAAAGTTTTACTTATTACACTTTGAACGTATCTCTTTCACTTCATTTTTATTTTACCGTTTCATATTTCTCACAGCCTAATCGTTTTGATCTAGCTCTTTCACTGGCGACAAGGCTTCATCCATAATCCATAATTAAAATTCGAATGTGTATACTAGTAGTGTTCTCTCTCTCTCTCTCTCTCTTTTAAGAATTAATATACTTTTCTTATCAAATATTAAAATTAAAAACAAAAACAAAGAAAGACCTTAGCTACCTTTCCTTCCTTCCTTCTCTTCTTTCTTTTTCTGTGAATTCCCAGTTGCTATCTTAGGAACTCGAAAAGAAAAGAATATTGAGGACTGCTTTGATTAATCTCTTTTATAACCAAGAATCTCTGCGTACCTCTTAAAATTCCTTTCTTTTCCTTTCCTTTTTCTTTACTAAGAATGTTCCTTTTCCTCTTCTATCACCTATCCTCCATCGACCTGTTTCCTAAAAAAAAAAAAAGTTAAGTCTCAAAGCCAATCATTTGATTACAACCGAAGCAAACCCATTTTCATGCATCAATCAAACACCTGCCATTGCTCTATAAATTGGTTGTCTTAAAGAGGAGTTGATCAAAAAGCATTTCGTGATCATTTCCTTTCCTTCAAAACTTCGTGTTGCTACAAAAAATAAGTGCTGTTACAGAATGGCAACCTTGAAGAGGTCAGACTCCATAGCTGACAACATGCCAGAAGCCTTGAAACAAAGCAGGTATCACATGAAGAAATGTTTTGCCAAGTACGTAGAGAAGGGAAGGAGAACAATGAAGCTTCAACAATTACTTGATGAGATGGAGAATGTTATTGATGATCAGGTTGAAAGAACTAGGGTCTTCGAAGGTTTACTAGGGGACATTTGGTTTTCCATTCAGGTTTGTATTCTCTGGTCCTTTCTTCTTGGTAAGAGACAACTTCATCCTTTAACTCTCATGGGTTTTATTTTTTACCCTTGAAATTAAGAAATTAGTATAATGTTATTCTTATGTAGAGTTTGTTTATTGTTTAGAAACAAACAAACAAAAAAATCGAGACAACGAAGACATGTTTCTATGTTCTTCTAGTTTTGAAACGACAAAAATTTACTCTAAAACTATTTCAAAGATAAATTTATTTTATGTTTCTGTATCTATCTTCCTATATTGTCTCAACTTATGGGCAGCTTGTAGCTCATTGGTACTCTTGTAAAATAAAAGTGAGGGCTCGAGTTTGAGTCTCATCTCTATACAGCAGCGTCATAAATTTTATTTTCTAAGAGAAATCACATGTAATTTGCAGGAAGCAGTTGTTAATCCACCATATGTAGCTTTTTCCATAAGACCAAGCCCCGGATTTTGGGAACATGTGAAGGTGAACTCTGCTAATCTTTCAGTAGAGGGCATCACTGTTACAGACTACTTGAAATTCAAAGAAATGATATATGATGAGAACTGGTATGCTATGCACTCTTCTGTCCAGTCAGTATCACACCAGGTTTTCCCTGTAGATTTCTACTAAAAAAAATGTTGTCATTGCAGGGCAAAGGATGCTAATGCTTTGGAAGTTGATTTCGGTGCATTTGATTTCTCTTTGCCTCACTTGACCTTAAGTTCTTCCATTGGGAATGGGCTTGGTTTTGTTTCAAAGTTTGTAACTTCAAAGCTAAGCGGCCGCCTGGAGAATGCTCAGCCTCTGGTGGATTACTTGCTATCTCTGAATCGTCAAGGAGAAGTACGAGAGAAACAATTTCATTTTCTATTCAGGATTGCAATGCATGAGTATTTGATTTTCTAATGCCTCTGAATTTGCAGAAACTTATGATAAATGAGACCCTTGGCACCGTCGGAAAGCTGCAGATGGCATTGATAGTTGCTGAAGTCTACCTCTCAGGACTTGCCAAGGACACCCCATATCACAGTTTTGAGATAAGGTGAATATTTTTGCCATCAGACACTGAAATTTCACAATGTAGACCCTGGAAATTGATGTTCTTCGTTTCACAGCTTCAAAGAATGGGGCTTCGAGAAGGGGTGGGGTGATACTGCAGAAAGAGTGAAGGAGACAATGAGATGTCTCTCAGAAGTACTCCAAGCACCGGATCCAATGAACATGGAGAAATTTCTTAGCAGGCTACCAACAGTATTTAATGTAGTCATTTTCTCTCCTCATGGCTACTTCGGTCAAGCAGATGTCCTCGGTTTGCCAGATACAGGCGGACAGGTATGAATTTCAATTCCCTACTGTAGTAAAACAAGTTTACTGGTACTTGATATTCTTGATCACAAACCTGTGCAACTACTCTAAACAGGTGGTCTACATTCTAGATCAAGTGAAAGCCTTGGAAGAGGAATTGCTTCTTAGGATTAAGCAACAAGGCCTAAATGTGAAACCTCAAATTGTTGTGGTAAGTTCACCAGTCCTCAAGGAGTGACTAATCCAACCAGGGTTGCAGGAGTCTGTCTAATCATGTTCTTGCCTAAACAGGTCACGCGACTCATTCCTGATGCTCGGGGAACAACGTGCAACCTGGAATTCGAAGCGATTAATGGCACCAAGTATTCAAACATCCTCAGGGTGCCATTTAGGGTAGAAAATAGGGTCCTCCGCCAGTGGGTTTCACGTTTCGATGTCTATCCCTATATCGAGAAGTTTACCCAGGCATATTTTGAACCGTCACATGATTCATTTTAAATCTTTCTTCATTCGTGTTCTGGGGGTTTCCTGTTATCACTGAATGTACTTATCTGTTTTTATATCAGGAAGTTACGACCAAGATCTTAGACCTCATGGAAGGAAAGCCAGATCTCATCATTGGAAACTACACTGATGGGAATTTAGCAGCAACTCTCATGGCTAGTAAACTTGGGATAACTCAGGCAACTATTGCACATGCTTTGGAGAAGACGAAGTACGAAAATTCTGATCTCAAGTGGAAGGAATTCGACTCTAAGTATCACTTCCCATGCCAGTTTATGGCTGATATAGTTGCAATGAATGCGACAGATTTCGTCATAGCAAGTACATATCAAGAGATTGCAGGAAGGTTAGATATTGTCTACACTTCTCTGAATGATTCTGTTTTAAACCATAGTTTGTCAAGTGATTCCAAATTTCTTCCGCTGAATATCAGAGCAAAACTATCCTATAAAAATGTATTGAAACCCTATGTTATATTATTGCAGCAAAGATAGACCTGGACAGTATGAGAGCCATGCTGCATTCACATTGCCAGGGCTCTGTAGAGTTGTTTCCGGTGTCAATGTCTTTGATCCAAAGTTTAACATTGCTGCACCCGGAGCTGACCAATCTGTCTATTTCCCACACACACAGAAACAGAGTCGATTCACGCAGTTTAATCCTGACATTGAAGAATTGTTGTTTAGCAAAGTGGTCAATGACGAACACATGTAAGTACTCAGAAATCATTTACTTTAGATTGTCATTGAGAGCAATTAGAACAACCCAGCATCTTATATGAACTTATTTAAACAACAGCGGATATCTAGAGGACAAGAAGAAGCCTATTATCTTCTCAATGGCAAGGCTCGATACAGTGAAGAACCTTACTGGACTAACCGAGTGGTATGGGAAGAACAAGAGACTCAGAGGTTTAGTTAATCTTGTTATAGTTGGTGGATTCTTTGATCCAAACAAATCTAAAGACAGAGAAGAAATGGCTGAAATAAAGAAGATGCATGAATTGATGGAGAAGTACCAACTCAAGGGTCAGATCAGATGGATAGCAGCTCAGACCGATAGGAAGCGCAATGGAGAACTGTACCGTTGTATCGCTGATACAAAGGGAGCTTTCGTGCAGCCTGCTCTCTATGAAGCATTTGGACTCACAGTCATCGAGGCTATGAACTGCGGATTGCCCACCTTCGCAACCAATCAAGGAGGCCCGTCTGAAATCATCGTCGATGGGATCTCAGGATTTCATATTGATCCAAAAAATGGAGATGAGTCGAGCAACATTATCGCTGATTTCTTTGAGAAGTGCAAGGTGGATCCCGGACACTGGAATAAGTATTCAGTGGAGGGGTTGAAACGGATAAATGAATGGTAACTACCCTTGTCGCAGACAACATCCTTGTGTTCTTGCGCGCTTATGTTTACTAACCGAAACCTTATTCACTTTGTTTTGTAGCTATACATGGAAGATCTATGCAAACAAATTGTTGAACATGGGTAACATGTATAGTTTCTGGAGGCAGCTCAACAAGGAGCAGAAACTAGCCAAGCAGAGATACATCCAGTTGTTCTTTAATCTTAAATTCAAGGAATTGGTATGCGCTCTCTACTTACATGCCACCATGGCGTGCACTCTCTACTCTCTGCTTACAGCTTTACAATCAATAATAATAACTATTGAAAATCTTCATTGGTTCCTCACGTGAAACTTGCAGGTAAAGAGAGTGCCTATCCCAACTGAAGAAGCTCAAACACCAGTCTCAGAGCCAGCAGCCAGAACGCAGCCCAGTGCAAGGTAGGGAAGTTGATTCTCTACAAGTACAATTATTTTCTGAATAGTTTTTTTATTATACAAAATAAGTTTTTCACTTTTCTAACATTTTATGCAAGCTAACTTGCATATTTTGACAATGCAGCGTGAAACGAACTCAGTCGCGATGGCAGAAGTATGAACTACAAACCCGAATAGCTAATTTCTATGGATACTGCAATAAAGGAACTCATATTATCTTTGTCCTGCTTTCAGGTTTTTCGGAGCTTAAGCTGCAATAAGGAAGCTTGGATCAGCATAGCAGGCATCCTGTGCCACCTGATATTGTTGTTAAGTGTTATGTTTTTCCGTATTGTTTGATCCTCTACTTTCACAATTCAATTTCAGTCTATCACTGAAAAGAAAATAAATAAATGGGAATGTGTACAACTAATAAATTCAGAGTGAGATGGTTTTCAATTGATTAATAATAGTGCTTTAACAGTAACAAGAAGTTTACCTACTCGTCGAAGCAACAAGAAATTCAATGGCCCTTCATAAAGGATAATCATTGTCCACCATGTGCAAGCCCCCTGTCTAATATTTCCATTTCATCCTTGAGCATGCTTGTGCAACAAGCTTACAGGCTGTGTTGCCCCCCTTTCCCTCTTCATTTAGGAGAGGTGTAGAGAACCAAGTTTAACAATAACATATTACAGAAATTTTCCACCATCTTGAAAAAACAAGATAGCTTACTTCCAGGCTAGCTAAATCTATCAACACTTACTGTTTCGGGACCATTCTCATGGGACAACAATGGAGAATCCATTAATTTTGACAGACTGTTTAGCCATGATGAGCTAAAAGCACCATCAGTTGTCATTGTGGAGCTTTCAGAGCCAAATTCACTAATCAAATGAGAACATAATCTTAATTCCTGCAACAAGGAAACAGGAAACAGAAAAGGTTTTGCATTAAAAAAAAGAAGACTAATTCTGAATGTTATCAGATTCAGGACAACTGTAATTACAATCACCAAATACGTTGCAAGCATTGATTGGAACTGCTCTCAGCTTCATGGAAGCTTTGGGACCAAATGATAGCAGAGGTCTTTCCACGTGCTGCAAATAATAAATATAACTAAACTGTGTCGTCAGAGTTGATTTTTAAAAGCATTTTTTGTTTAAAAATATAATTTTTTTAGATTTTTTATTTTATAAATTAACGTATTAAAACCATTTAATATTTTTCCAAGATAAAAATATTTTCAAAACATAATCAAATTTTATTTCAAACGCAAAAAAGAGGCTAGAACAGTAAAAAAGTAAAAGACTTTTTACTGGAGTCAACACTTAGCTGAAATATTGAATAGGTTCAGATAAAAAAACCAGAACATATTCAACATTAACGCATGTGAATTCAAAATTAGATTCAAACCAGTATTTGGTAGAGCAGTGCATCAATATTTTCAGCAGAATTCCATGAACTGTAATCCATCAGATGGGCTTGGGCTTGGGCTCATGATTGGATCTAAGCCTGAATATTTTGTCAATTAGCCCACATCAACAAAAATCCAAAAGTCATCCAACCGTGGTTCTACTCATGTCACCTAACTCTTTTCTTTTGGTGAAAAAAGAGGATTATTCCTTTTCCTTTCTTTTCTTCTTGTTGAGAATGGATTTTTTTTCTATTTTGTTTTTGTTTTTTCGCCGATAAAAAGCAAAGAGACAACTAAAATAACCTTAAAAAATAGCTAAAATTTAAAATAATTAATCATAAAATATTAGGGGAGAAATAGAAATAGAAAGAGAAAGAAAAAAGAAAAAATCGAGATGTCCTTTTGCTTTCACTTTGTCAAAAATATCAATCAATATAGTAACTGATATTTTATTTTTACGTTGAGGCTTTGTTTGGTGAGATTAAAAAAACACAAAGCCATGATAGGAGAAGCCACAAGCTCTGGCGGTGGAGGCAAGGATGATTCTCCTGCTGCTGTTTCTGCCAAAAAGAACAAGAAACCCAATTGTATGAAAACCCATCTTTCTTTTCTTTTTTATAATTCGATGTGTTCCAATTTATGATTTGGGTGGTTTCTGTATTGACTTGGTTTGAATTATCACTACCCTTTATGTACATCTTGTTGGCATTTGGGAAAGTCTGAATCTTTTTTATTTTCTTGAAATCGGTTTTTGTTTGTTAATGTAAAGTTGATTGCTTTAGGGAGGTTTGTCATTGTGTTTTTGGTGGCAAATCTGGGATATGGTTTTATTTTTTGGTAAATAACAAATGGTTTTTGTTAAAATTTTCGTCCTTTATATATATAATTACCTGCATTGCCTTTTTAATCTGGTAAATTTGATGCTTTCACCTGTTGAAATGCTGGTGTTTTAATTTTAATCTGGGGTGCTGGATTTTGAAAATCAAATTATGGGCTGAATTGTGTTGTTTTATTCAATGAGTTTTACGAGTGGAGAATTTCCTGAGCATATGTTTGTTTGGCTTTGGTGGATGCAGATTCTAGATTCACACAGCAAGAGCTCCCTGCTTGTAAACCTATTTTAACGCCGGGATGGGTATGGTTTAGAATATTTCACGACTGATTTCTGTTTGACTTCTGCTTCAGTGTAGTACTGTTCTTTGTTTTTTTAATTACTTGGACTGTTATTTTTAATGTTTTCAGGTCATTACATCATTCATTGTTGTTGGAGTTGTGTTTATCCCTATAGGCCTTGCTTCCTTGTATGCATCAGAACATGTAAGTTTATTTTAATCTTGTTTGACTATATTGCTAACTGCGTTGTTTTGTAGATGGCTCTAACTTAAAGCTCTTTTGTTTTTCCCCATCTGGCATCATGTAGGTGGTGGAAATTGTGGAGCGATATGACAAAGATTGTATCCCCCCTGATTATAGAAATAACAGTCTACATTATATCCAAACCAGCAAAACCAACAAGACTTGTACAATGACCATTAATGTTAGTCCAATTTCCTTACTTCATGTGCTTAAAGAAATTTGCCTTCCTTCTTTTATTTGTGTCTGTCTTCTTTTAATCTAAGCTGCATTGTTTTTCAAAGATGCATTGACTGAAGATTATTTCAGGTTCCAAAGCACATGAAAAGTCCTGTTTTCATCTATTACGAGCTTGATAACTTTTACCAGAACCACCGTCGGTGAGTAGAAGAAATATTACAGCTGTGTGTTTTTTCTGTATCCTTATAAGGTGTGAGGTATATGTTCGGCTATAAATTTTCTTATTCATATAAGGGATTATATTTTTAAATGTTATTTTCCTCTTTTTTCTTAGCAAATTGTCACCCTCAGAAAATATGATGTTACAACTGCTAATTGTATATATGTTGAATCAATTTTTTGTCTGATTTGGACTTTTAAGACCTTCAAATGCGGTACATGCATTTAACACCTTTAGAAAATCGACTTCATTGTGATCATAAATATGTATCTATAAAGACTATTGTCATTTGTGATATCACCAAGGCTTTTCATTGAAGAGCAGCTACCTGTTGTGGTCTTTAATTTTCTCCATTTGGCATGTTCTATTAACATTTGGTGCTGCTATCTAGGTTTGAGTAATGAAAAGAACAAGAAACACAAAACCATTTGTGGATTGTCAAGTCGGGTGATGAAACTGGGAATTTGTAATAGCAAAAGTGTTCCATTGATTGCTCAACTTAGAAAAGATAATAGAAGTACAAAAGCATAACTAAGGTTGTTAACCAAACACTTTTTCCTTGTTTCATCTGTGTTTAGGCTGGCACACGGAATGCACAGAGAATTCCCCTGCAAATCACACTTGTGCTGTTTATGGATTTTGAAATTTGAATTTAGCTCTGTAGTTGATATGGTCTGCCAGTAATACAGACCACTCTTTGATTATATTTTTTTTCTGCTTGATCCTTCATTCGCTATTCTCTATAAAAGGTAGATCTTAGTCCTCAATTATAAAAGGTAGATCTTAGTCCTCGATTATAAAAGGTAGATCTTAGTCCTCAATTTGGTGCTAGAAATTTGCTATATGGCAAATCACCACAGAAAAATTTCATTTTGACAAATCCCAGAACCCAGAATTTGTATTCGTTAGAATGGCAAGGAAAGTAGAAAGATCGTCAAGGTAAAAGTTGGAGTTGCAATTAAACCATGTTTATATGGGCTGCATTGCAAGTGATGTTGTACTTGTGCATAAGTAGACCATTTTACGATAAAAAGTAGTTGTACCATTGTATTGGTTGCTTCTTTTCATTTGAGAGTCTGGATTGTTCTGTTGATCTATGCCCGTAGTCGCATTTCCATTTTTGGTAAGATGCAATTTGTAGGAGTTTGAATTAAAGTTTCACTTGGAAATTTTAAAACATGTTGGGTTTTCTGACTTTGTTATGATATGAATTTTTTTCCTGAAGAAAATTTTCCAGTTACTGATATTTTTGCATTGATTGTGGAAACCTCCTCATAGTTGAATTTGCTTTTCACATGTAATTAATGTACTGCTTAGGAATCTTCTTGTGCTAGGGTTCTTTTGACATGCTTCTGCAATTTGAAATGTGAAAATTTTGCTGACAGATATGTAAAAAGTCGAAGTGATAAACAGTTACGAAGCAAGGCCAGTGAAGGTGTCACAGAAACCTGCAAACCGGAAGCTGTCACATCAAATGGGCAACCAATTGTTCCTTGTGGCCTTGTTGCATGGAGTTTGTTCAATGATACATACAGGTTTTCGGTAAAAAAAGAGGTTTTAGATGTCAGCAAAAAGAATATCGCCTGGAAAAGTGACCAGGAGCATAAATTTGGTTCTGATGTCTATCCTAAAAATTTCCAGAGTGGAAGCTTAATTGGAGGTGGAAAACTCAATTCAAGTATACCTGTAAGTATCTCCCTCATCTTCCCTGCATGTTCGAGTCTTTTCATATAGCTTGTCAATTAAATTTACTTGGTTTTCTCTTTCTTTTTTTCATTCCATAAGTAATTCTTTTCCTTCTCCCCTTTCTAAATCTATCTAGTTGCTGGTTTTTCTTGAAACAGTTGAGTGAACAAGTAGATCTTATTGTATGGATGCGTACTGCAGCACTGCCAAACTTCAGAAAACTTTATGGAAAGATAGAGAAGGACCTTCAAGCTAACACTACAATTACGGTTACCATTGAGAATAATTATAATACTTACAGTTTTGGAGGCAAAAAGAAGCTGGTTCTTTCAACCACGAGTTGGATAGGTGGAAAAAATAGTTTCCTGGGCAGAGCTTATATCGCTATTGGAGGCTTGTGCTTGTCCTTGGCAGTATGCTTTGTATTTGTATATGTGTTCAAGCCAAGGTGAGAATGGTTCAAAAATCCTATTAATTGCTCGATTTTTTTCTGTGCCAACAACAGTAAATATTTCTAGCTTTGATGGAAATATTCATCGGGATTGTTTGAGATGGTTTATGTGCTTTATGCAGGCCCCTTGGTGATCCATCCTACTTATCTTGGAACAGGAATCCATCAGGACAAATGAATTAAAACCTGAAACCATGCTCTGTCCATTCACAACTTCATTGGAACACTTCCTTGCCATTCTCCTGCACCGGTTTCATTTTCCTCTCTTCAAATTAACAGTTCCATGCAGGAATCTAGAGCCTCGTTTTCTGATAAATGCAACTACACAACGCTGTTAACTTATTATATGTTAGGCTGATTTTCGTTGTTGCATTTTGTCCTTTTGCTTGGTTTTTGACATTGAGATGAGACACTGGTTTGTTAAATCCATTTTATGTAATTGATTTAAGCTCCTTCCCACACCTTTCGTCTGCTTTCATAATAATCATCTAGTTAAAGAAAATTATTTGCTGAGCTATAAAAAGATTATCAGTAGCATTTAATGCTTGATACAAATATTATAAAAGAGTGAATCAATGTCTTGTGTGCTTTTGTGGGCATTATGCATCAGCAAGAAAGTATTGTGGGCTCCAAGGGGGTGGAGATATCTCTTTCACACATGCTTGCATCAATGCTTACAATCCCTTCTCCCTGCATATTGAGAGTAAAATTCTTGTTACAGAATTATAAAACTCTTGTGCAGCTTTTGTATGTTTCATAGTGAAAGAAGTACATTACCTTTGCAATGTTCCTAAAGTATGTTGTTGAATAATTTCCATCAGGGAACAAAACCTCAATGAGATCTGCCAAAACCAATTGAGGTTGGGATACTGCTCCATCATTCCAGTCTTCATATTGATAGGGCAACAGATGGCTCAGATAGGGCAGTCAAAACACATATACAGTACAGGAAGAAGTAAAAACGTAGCACTAAATCTTACCAAGAGTGGTCAAGTTTTGGACTCTTTTATCATATCTCCACAAGCTTTGATTTGCTATAAAGGCAAAACAAGAATTGTCATCAACACCTATGTTTTGAAGGAAACTTGACTGATTGTAGCCAACAGGGTCAGGAGTATACGTTTCATCAATCACTACATCCACAGTCTACAAGAAAATGAATTTTAGAGACAAATTAGAAAGACTTGATAATTACTAGAAACCAGCAGAAAATATGATTTTGAGCGAGAGGGACTTACACATAGAATTGCATGCAATTCTTCAGAGTCATCAGGATTTGAGGTGTTGTAAGTGATCTTATTGATAGAGTTGTCAATATTTTCTCCTCCTGCATCCTCCACATACTGTTTTCAAGTTTAATACATCTCATCCACATTAAAGAGCATGAAATGGTTAATTATTTGTGTTTTCTGTTACCTTCAACTTGCATGTTTCCTTTGTAAAGGACCATATGCCCTGAAAAGCAAGAGAAAACAATTTCATTAGGGTCAAGTTAATCATAAAGAAACCATGAAATAGTATTTGGTTCTTGTCTTGAAAAAATAGAGATAAAGGGCGTGTCTTCTTGTACGTTCTTGTGTTTTGAAATGACAAAAAATAACTCTAAAATTGATCAAGAAAGATTCAAGTTTTCATCTCTCAAATCAAATACGTTTTTGTTCCTTTTTATCCTGTTTTTTATATTATAAAACAATTACCAAACACAACCTCCACAATTGACTTAAAAATACAAAAAGAAATGCATGTTCAGGTAGTGTGCTATACTAACACTATCATACTGCATCCAAGCTACAATGGGTTTAAAGGAACCATTTTTGCTTGCTGCAACCTTAGTCAGGCACAAGTAATTCTCTTTTATCTGCAGAAGGAAATAAAATTTTACTCATCAAATCAAATATAAAAGAAGCAATAATACTTTTCTCCCATCAATAAAATAACGGTGGTCTGCCATACTCACCGCATCATATACTTTGTTGGCTCTTGTCTCAAGGTTTACAAAAACTCCCAAGTACTTTATCCACTCTGCTCTCTGCCATGTATAGTACAAGTATTAAATCAGCAGTTTCGATACAAGCTTTGCTTTGATAAGTATTTAATACCGAAAAAATTTCCGCAGTGATTGAATTTGAGAATTATAATGTGTGAGTCTTCGGTTCAAAATTTGGTATGGCTTGAATGAAATTTACATGTATAAATAAAACTTTTCTCAGAAGAGGCATTATGCATTTATTACCTGGAGAGGGTAATCCTCTACTAAAGGAACAAAGTTGGCAAAATTGCATGCTTGTGGTTGGTCTGTTACACTGATAAAATGAGCACCAAATTCTGAGAATTGCTGAGGCTCACTCCTGTTCATCATCTCTATTTCTCCTGTTTCATACAACTTTAATGCACATTCAGAAGCCATGGAATCTGATGTAATGCCCTTCATACTCCCGAGTAAGCCTAGCAGCTGTTGACAGATAAAAAAAAATATAGCAAAATAAAAAACAAAAAAATTAATGCCAATTTGCCACCAGATTTGTGGTCGGACACTCAGTAAAGCAGTGTTTAAAAAACAACAAAAATAATGAAGACAAAGAGATTTATAACAGAAATTTACTTCAAAATATTTTATAAATACATTTATTTTATATCTTTATCTCTATCACTTCAATCAAACACGTTTATGTCTCCTCTATCAGGACACCCACGAAACACAACTTGATATATATATTCATCTCTTGTTATGGAACTCCTAATCAAGATCATAAGATAATTACAACTTACAGAAGCCAATGATCCTCACCTCGAAGAAGGACACTGTAAACCAGGAAAAAATAAGTGGCATAAGAAAAATGAGCTGAATATATAGCATAAAAAATGAAAAAAATATACCAAGTATATTTCTTCACTTTTCTTGCGTTCTAGCTTTTGCTTTTAAATATGTAACAGAATGTACCTGGAAAGGAGTAGGTATCAGCTGAATAATTTGACAAAGGGATGACAAATGATTCGATCCTTGAGGTGCAATATTTTGTTCTTGTTGCCATCCGTGAATTATTCTGTTAATTGCAATTGAAAGTAAGGGATTAGGGATTTGCATGAAACCATAGCATCATCTACTATATTTTTTTTTTATTATAGGCTAAAATCTTTTTGTTTTTTTTTTTTATCAATAATAGACTAAAAGTTTAATAAAATCAAATGACATGTCATTGTCTACACGTTAAATTTAGAGAGTTTTTGACAATATGGCTAAAACATTATTTGTTTAATTTTTTTAAACATTTTTTTAGTATCTTTAGATTGTTTTAGTGTATGAATATAAAAAATAAATTTAATAAATTATTATTTTAATATATTTTCAAATAAAAAACATTTTAAATCTTAATCTTTATTACATTTTTAAATAGAATTTTATTATCAATATAATTGAATTTGATTGATATTCTATATATATATATATATATATAAAATAAGTTATTTTAAAATTAATATAATAATAAATTTAAGTAGCATGTTCTGCGTTGATCAAAAATTCTGATATTATTGGTTTTACTTTGTTTATTTATATTAAAAATTTATTTACATTTATTTATTTCTTTATTAAATAGTATATTTACTTAAAACTTGTGATCCGATTGAAATATCATTCTCAATTTACGTTACTATATATATATATATATAAATATATATTTTATGTGTGTGTTTAGTAGGATGAACAAACACCGAACATAAAAATAAATAGTCTTCAGGACATCTATAAAATGAATATTTTTGTCTTAAAGGTATCGGGCATGTCCACCTTATTTTATTTATCTTTATTTTTTTCAATATTAAAACAATAATCAAATGCTATCTATATATTACTAAAAATGATTAAATGTGCCTTTTTCACTCGGAAAAAAAAGAAGGGTGGAGCAGCCATGTGACTCCAAAAATAAGAACATAAATTAATATAGTTTTACTGTAATTAAATTTTTAGAGCAAATATTTTTTTATTATTTTTTTTTGCATGTTTTATTTCGGTTAGGCCTAGGTGGTCTTGTCTTTTTGGAGGGTTAGTTGCGGCAGCCAAAAGGCTTAATTTGAACCCAACTAGCTAATCTATGGTTGTATCTTATTAATTAGGTCCACACTAAAGTCCCTGTTTGGTATTTATACTAGCTAAATTAATTAATGAAATTAACTATACTAACTAATATTTTATTTTCCAATAACCAATCTGAAAGTACTATTTGATTAGGGTTTACTTAACCTACATATGAATCACTCACCAGAAATGGGATAACTAGCTCATAATACTTGCTCTAAGAATTATATAGGATCGCTATTACCCCATTAATTAAACATCCTTTTGAATGTTTAAAAACAGATTACCTGTGCTCTTATTATTCATGGAGTTTTAGTATCATAACGACAATTATTAAATTTAATATGATTATCCATTCGAGATAAGATTTAATTTACATGTTAAACAGATTAATCTATTTTTTTAAATCATATTATTTTATGAAAAGAAGTTTCTTAAAAAAAAAGTCAATAAATATTTGATTGAATTGCAGTTCAATTTAGATTTTTGACAATATACTAGTCAACTCTCATTTTTTTTTTTGAAACTTGGATTGACCCGGACAAGTTTAATAACCATGATCATACCTTACATAATTTGAAAAACTCAAAAAACATTTTACCAATATTTTAATCCTAAGAAGAACCAGTGGCTAGAGCTGCTTCATCAATATATCTTACCAACAAAAGCAGTTTGGAATTTTATGTAGTTACTAATGGAGGAACAGAAAAAATATGATTAGACATTAACTATATATTTACCTGAATGAGAAGGTAGCTCTTGCCATCAACAACATTCTTGATGACTTTGAAGGTCTGTCCATAATATATATGGAAGTTCACAGCATCCTCTGTCTTCGATATGTTCCTTACAATGACTCTGGAGCTTGCAGCATTTGCACCTTGAAGCAATCCACAAAGGAACAACACAGAGATAATTTGGACCCTGAGAGAAGAAGAAGAAGACGAAGAAGAAGAAGACATGATGTGATTGATCAGTGAAGAAGAAACAAAACCCAGTTCCTATCTACAACAGTTGAGCTCTAGCTCGTAGTATATTAGCATTTAGAAAAAAAATGTATTGTGGGCTATGTACCAAACCTAGGTGTCTGTGTCTGTGAGAGAGAGAAGTTTTGCAGCTTTTGGAATGGCACGGGGCTAATGGCTGTGGGGGGGACAGTAGAGGTGAACATAGGAAGTGAATTATTTGATGAGAAACTTGTTGGCATGTGATGTGTGGTTGAGTGGATTTGCTATCAGTGAATTATTCTTTAGTCCTTGGTTTTTGAATGAAGTTATAACTTAGTTCTTCATGTTTGAAAACCTACAAGCCGGTTCCTCTACTCTTGTTGACAGCCATCTTTTTTAAAACATGTGTTGAATTTCTTTTTCTATAAACT